CATAAAACTGTACATCTTAGAAACAAAATAAATTAAACATAGGAACATCTACCAAGTCGCGCTCTACGACCGAAATACAAACTCTAACTTTAGCTGCATGATGCTCCTCCTCAAAGTCCTCTTCAGGGAAATCAGAACTTATGTGAGCAAAAAATCGCTCAGAGAAAACAAACCCGATGAACAAGTACCAATAAGATATAATCCCGCAAAGAAAAATATTCAGGTGTTGGTACTAACAAACATTAATTTCAATTCAATAAATTATAAATAAGGTAAATCACATCAGAACATATACTAAATGTTCATACCGAACCGCTTCTTATTAAATATGTAAACAATATCCCCGTCATTGGCTCATGTGAGCTAATCTATTAAAGTTGTTGACAAAAAAAAGGAGGCATCACAATCTTTCCACATTATCAATACAATACTACTTTCTCTTCACATTTCCGACATACATTTTTATACCTTTCTATACGTATTTGTCTTGTATTTCTTACTGTAAGAGTTTAAACCCAAGAATAATATAAATTCTTGTAGTGTAAGAATCTAACATCCACGGTATGTACCTTTTTTACTTATAACCATTTAAAAAAAATCCTAAAGCTGTTTCAAAGAGTCATATTTTCCTATTGTTTTTAATTATAAATATTTTTTCATATAGATTTTTGCCATGTGTGTTTATTCACGACTCATGTATTTGCAACCCTATTTATTTTTAATTTGCTAAAAACTTAGTTTTCATTTGTACATATTAATTGTTCTGTGGATGCAAATTTTAATTAAAAAAATAGTTGCAATTAAGTATTTAACAAAATTACTAAAAACATATTATTTTGAAGATTGAATTTTTGTTTAGAATTATTGGTTTTAACAAAATATTTTTGGAATTTTATTAGAAGTTTATTTTTAATTTTATCACTTTCGTAAAAAACATTTGGACTGTCTCCTATTTTTAGTATAACTTTGGTGCTGTATTTTTTACTTAAAAATGTTTTTACCTTTCTTAAAAATGTTTCAAAAAATCGTGTTCTTAGTCATAACTTTTTTTATATACATTTTGATTTATAAATATTTTAACAATTTTAAAAAATATTTAAGATAAAACATAAAAATTTGGTAGGATTTACATAATATTTCAAATATTTAAGTTTATTATATCACAGTACTTTAATTCATAAACACAATCTTTTTTTTTTAAATTCAATATTTTGTTTAAAATGAGGTCTCCAGCGTTTTCACAGAGGCTTATATCTAATCTACTTTTTTTGGTAGTATATAATCTATTCTAGTTAATAATACGATGAATAATAATAGATTAATAGTAATTAAAATATCCTTGGACTTGACTTCAGCCTTGGATTGTGAAACCACCTTCAAAGGATCAACACTGTGGACGTCGGATTCACACACTTGAATATTTGTTTATTTAGTGGGAATGATTATTCTTGAGGACAAAAATATGATATGAAAAAGCTATGAATTGCAATGGAAAATGATTACAGTGTATTTGCTAGAAAAATTGCGTATATCCCTTACATGGCTTCAGACCCTATTATTTATACTAACCTACGGACACATTTAACTCTCAATTAAATACAATTATTCTCTCTTAAATGTGTCCGTTTTTGGTCTTCGAGTTTAATGCTCAACGTTTGAATTTGAATTGATTCCGATCTTCATGGGCTTCGCCCTTTAGCCCAAAAGCCCCGAACCGAAATGATCTTTAACTTCGACTGCGTACTCTTCTCGAGGTGAGACCACTCCGATCCCTCTTCGTAGTATAACCACCTCGACTAAACTTTTGGGCCTACACGTCCATCGGGCCTTGTCCTCTATGGGCTTCTGTCCTGCCTGCGTGGCAATTTTTGGTTGGTCCCGAACCACCCATGCGGGATCCGACACCAACAAACACGAAATTTGTTGAAGACAAGATTGTTGCGGGATTTCCATATTCTCCAAATAATCCAAAAAGGTAACAAAAAGGTAACAACATGATAATAACATAGGACGACAAGACCACACAAGTTCTTCACCAGCAAATTGGACACCTCCTCCCCAATCACATGTTAAATGTAATGTTGACGCGGGCTACGATACAAACGCTTCTTTAGCGACTGGTGGCTGGATTGTTCATAATTATCATGGTCACACTATCATGTGGGGTTCGGGTCGATTATGTCAAGCCCAGTCTCCTTTAGAAGCAGAAGCAAGAGCATTACTGGCGGCAATTCAACAAGTCTGGATGAAAGGATTCAAGGCGGTAATATTTGAAGGGGACTGTGAAGTCCTAATAAAAATCCTTAATGATGAGAGTCAAGACATATCTGTTCTGAGCATCTGTCAAGATATTAAGCATTGGTCGAGGAAGTTTGAAAACGTCTCTTTTCAGTTCACAAAACGTTGTAATAATAGGGCTGCTCATCTCTTAGCTAAAGGCATTTCTGTAAATTCTGATTATTTTTCAAATGTTTCTCATGTTCCCCCGTGGCTACACCATCGGTTGTAGGGATGTTAAAAGTGGGCTTTAGCCCAGTGGGTACCCAAAACTCATGTTAAATAAGAAGTCCAAAGATCTACTTTCTTTGTTAAAAAAACGCAGGCTTCAAATGGTCTGGGTACCCGGATAAAGAAAGTCTTATACGGGTTTATCTTATTGGGTTATGGGTACCCATGGGCTTTTTTAATTTTTTTATTCACTGTCACAAAACGACGTCATTCTTCTTCTTCTTCAATTTTTTCCCCAAATTCGATTTTGTGTAGCTAAAGTTTCGATTTTTGTTTATGGGTTTTTAATTTCTCCCTCTTATAGAATCGTTTCTGGATTTTGTTCCTGGGTTTTAAAACTTGGTTTTGTGGCGATTTGTTTTAAGTAGTTACATTTGTGTCTGCTACGTTTGTGGAAGTTTCTAAGTTGATGGTTGGTTTTAGTCTTTTAGATTAATGGGATAGTTAAAGTGAAGTGTTTTGCTGGTTTGTGTAAACCGAGTTTATAAAGAGACAACACAAACTAAAGTCTTTATCTGATTATATCAATCGCCATAACTACATTCACTTGGAATTTCTTAGGATACATAGTAAGGAAAGTTTGAGATTTCTAGCAATGTTTATGTTTGATTCCAGTGTTGTGTCATCATTACTGGTTAATGCGTTTGAAATTGCATTCATCTAAAGTTGACACTTTGGTTATATTCAAGTGTTTATGAACTTACCTCATGTTCTCCATATTTTGTGTTTATGAGTTAGGTGTCTATCATGATTATATACAAAATATAAAATACATGATTATATGCAAAATACATAATATTAATACATATGACACATAATATATATACATATGAAAAATACAGAATATAAATACATTTGAGAAAAAGTAAAGAAAAATCAGTTCGGGTACCCACGGGTAGTCTTGGAACCTATCGGGTTTTTTCGGGTTTACCCACAAGACCCAAAACCCATTCGGGTTTTTTAAATTCGGGTTTTTAGTGGGCGGGCTCATGTCGGGTTTGGGTCGGGCTGGGTTTTTTTACCCACAACAACATTCCTAATCGGTTGTACTCCTTTAACATTGATTAGTGCAATAAAATTCATATTTCGACGAAAAAAAAAATATATATCCTTGGACTTATCAAAAGAATTGTCCGCGTAGGACTTGGTTCTACGTTGACTTCTGTATCAAACATCTTCAAACACTCCCATTCTTCTTTTTCGTTAGGAAGGGGGGACGAATCTCCGAGTCCAGCTTCGCGTCTTCTTTTTTTAACTCTTAAATTTTCATACAGATTTAATATTATGCAATCAAAATATATATTAAAATGTTTACAGTCCCAAATCTATCCACATGATGATTTACGTTCTAGCATTACATCAACAACTGTTTTTTTTAAATAACCAATTATTTAGCTTTTTGGCAAAGAAATATTAAATTTTCATAAATTTCAAACGTTCGAGTTTAAAATATAAAAGAGGATTAAAAATAGGAAAAAGGATAATTAAGAACAAATAAATTATTTCTGGTTATGATCATTGACTAATTGTTGACATGTGCTTTAAACCACACCTTACAATTGACCCGTAGCTTATGTAACTAAGTCTTTGTGGCTAACGGTCTAATCCATGTAAAATGTTGTCGTTAACCTTATAATTTATACCATTAAAAAAAAAAATCTTAGTTCATCCACATATCTTATTTTATGGGATACTATTAAGATTATATAAGGATTGATATCTAAACTTTTCTTTTAACAAAAACATACAAATAACTAGCTTCTCTAAAGTTAAGAAGAAATGAACCAATATCAAATTATATTTCAAAATAAATCAATTCATTTCATGGTATAACATGGTCACGGTGCAATCATTAATATATAGGTTATAGCAAACATATAATAATCAGCTATGATAAAATAACATATTGTAAAACTTGTTCGAACAAGTTGGGATGATATTGTAATAGAATAACTATAAAACCCATTCTAAACAATGCATTAAAAATGATAATATATGATTAAAGAAAGAAGCACGTCGAGTCACTTCCATTCCTACCTGCCAAATCGCTGGCTTCTTCTTATTATTATCCTCGACTTGAACCGGCTCGGCTCAAGATCAATTAGTCCGGCTTTTGACCGGTTAACAAAAATTCACAATCGACCAAATTGGAAAACTAAAGCTTGTTTTGTTGGAGATATCGTTAGTTTATTATAAATTGAGTGTAGAAATCGTAATTCTTATCATTTTCAGTATTTTACTATAATTTATTGCTCGAAAAAAAGTTTGTGAAAACCGGTTAAAACGCCAATACTAAACCACCGGTTTGGTTTAGCCTATTAAGCTGCAAGCCGAGTAAATTAAACGCGGTGCGACAAACAATACGATTCTCCGCAGCTTCTTCATAAATCCTTCAACCTTTCTCCTTTTTTTTCTTGTTCACTACGTAAACCCAACAACACTTGTGTAGTTGTGTGCAGATATAAATATGTTTATACACAATGTTATCTCACAAACACAAAGCAAAAATTAGCAAATTCTAAGAGAGGAACAAAAAAACAAGATCAGTCTTTGAATTCATACAAATCAGTAGAAAGGAGAATGAGAAGCGTGATGAAGAAGCTACTATGGTGCGGAACGAAGAACAATGCTTCTTCGAGAACACTGGCATTACCAGACGAAGGGAGAGTTCGGGTTTACGTAGGTAAAGATAGAGAGAGTCAATGCAAGCTAGAAGTTGAAGCTAATTTGCTAAACCACCCAATGTTGGAAGATCTATTGAGGTTGTCTGAAGAAGAATTCGGACACTCGTATGAAGGAGCTTTGAGGATTGCTTGCGAGATTGATGTCTTCATCAAACTGGTTAATCTACACAAATCAACTAATCATCATAACACCACAAAATTATCGTAGCTTTTATTATACCTCTCTTATTCATCATTCTTTAATTCAAAGAAGGAAGGAAAAAAAATGGACGAAGTTCGTTTCCTTTTTTTATATATAATTTATTTATTTCTAGAGTCGAATGTCAATGGACATTTGTATTAGTAATGACTTCATCAAGTCATATATCCATCTTCTTTTTTTTTTTTTTTTCGACAAAGCTTATATATATTTTTTTTTTTTTTTTTTTTTTTTTTTTTTTTTTTTTTTTTAAGCTTATATATATTAATTCAAATGTGAAATTACTTAGTCATGGTGAATATATATATCAGTTTATAACCAAATATGAATTTATAATATAAAATTGAGAATGGGTGAATGGTTCTTGGCTGAATTGGAATCTCGTTTTACATGCTTGAACTTATGACAATGTATTTTTGTTGTCTTGTAGAGAATATCCTTGCAGAAGTTGGTGATGCTTATGTCTTTTGATTTTTCTGTAAAACGTTGTTTAGAACAAGTTAATCTCATTTTCGCAAAAAAATATTTAAAAAATAACAAGTTAATCTCCTTCAAAGATTATATGACACAAAAGATGAATAGGCCCGGTTGATTAGTATAAATAAGTCACCCGAAAATAGTGTGTTAAATTGTAAATCGAAGTAAACCGGTTATGTCATCTTCCACATTCACGGACTTCTTTGCTCTGTTGATATCTCGAGCTGCTATCTTAAGGATGACTAATCGGTTAGATATATCACTTCGATATCATGACTTGGAATATATGCATATGTATCCAGGGACCAAATGGTTGCGGTAAGCAAAAATAAACCAGTATATATGTAAACCCAAACCAAATTATAACTAAGATCATTCGGTTCTATTTTTGTTTAACTATATCCACATAAAATTAGACAAACGGTCATCGGCGTCAAACGACATTTTCATGAAATCTGCACGATGTGCACTTTTCTCTTTTCGTCATTCTATTCTATTGGCCTTAAGTAATTTCCAGTTTGTGAATCTTCCATCTCCGGTTTGATTCTTGCTTTTGTTCTGGCTAAGTTTTGGTTTACTACCTTATGTCACTTATGTAATATAGTTTTCTCTCCCTTTTCCTTTATGGTTTTGGATCTATTTTTGTCATCGTATTTCCTCTCCTAAATTCTTTGCTGTATACTCTTATTTCTCTGGAACTAATTCTTTAAATCCTCCATCATTCGGGATTAGGTTTCGGCAGGAAGTTTCCTTGGGAGGTGGAAGATTTTGGTGGTGTTTTGAAATAGAAATGGGGCTGGGATGAAGAGGCAACCAATCCGCATGTATTTGTTGGTGTCTTATAGATTGTAGTTTGTTGTCTTGGCGGTTTTTAGAGATGTTTAATGATGCTTGAAGGCGGTTGATGATGCTTGAAACGTTCATGAAAATTATTTCATGGTGATGATAATCGATTGGCAGTTCATAAACCTATTTCACATGTACATTTCAAAGTTTTGACTTTCTTCTTAACTTTCGAGTATTTGGGCTTTCGAGATATACTACTTAAAACAAAGACTAAAGGCAAATCATTTTGTGAGTGTAAAATAGAGTCGTTCCTAAGAAAATGAAGGGCAATGTATATTCTCCAAATTCACTAATGATCAACCAAACATGCCCAAGGCTAAAATAAACACAAAAGAGAACCTAGTTTTTTGAGGAATCAAACCGTATTATAGAGGTTGTCTCGATTTACATAAAAGTTTGGATGGATCAAGACATCATGTTCATCTTTTGGTCAAATAACCCCACAAATAACAATAAGTGGTTCGCAACTGAAAAATGGTGCAAACTCAGATACAATGATTTTTTGTTTAAACTCTCAAAAACCTAAAATTATGCCAGGTTTCGTCGAGTCTAGTCAGCTCTGTCAAATCTTTCGAGTCATTAAGTGTCTAGAATCATTCTTGTTCATGTTGGAGCTTGTTTTTGACAAAGTGGTGCCGACCACTTTTTGGATGGTTTTTCGGTGAGAAGTTATCCTTCGTTATATTCCAACGACCCAATGATTATATATCTTTATATTTTCATATTTGTATAAGTTACTAATGATTAAAATTCTTCTTCAAAATGGAGTTTATAAGAAAGAAAAAAAAATCGATATACAACATTAAGGTGATCAGAGAATCAATGTTCATTAAAATCGAATTATGCTCTTTATTGCACCAACATTTGAGCACTTCTTTATATATCCAAGCCATGTCTTCTCATTTTAATCATCGAGTTCTTCTATAGTTTCGTGTCTAAGAGTATTCACAAAACTTCTGTCCTTTGATGTTGAGAGTCTGAAAAAATATTATAGTTATGATTTTTTGGTTTCTTACCGCTATTGCATGATGTCTCGTCTCTACAGTTTCCTTTCATCTTTCCGATTTTATATTATATTATCGATTTATTTTCTTTAGTTATTACTAACTTTTAAAGAAAATCTTTAATCATATCATTTTTTTGAACACCAATAATTTTTATTTATCAATTACATTTTCGTAAAAACTCAGGCTCCTACATGAATAATCAATATATTTTTATGTGATCTCCACTTGTTCCTGAAGACAAATGCATAGTTATGACTTTTATGGATTGGCTGCTTAAACAAAAAGTTACCAAAGACTTTGACTTTGCGTAATGCAAAAATAACGGCAGCATGAAAAGAGGTTCCCTCCGCCTCTTCTTCTGCCTAAGTTACCGGTCAACAAGCACTTCTCTATTTCTCTTGTTTTTTTTATCTTACAAAATAAATTACAAACATATATTAATTATTTAATTATTCTGACTTTCCTTAGAAATGATGTATGTTGAAAAAGTACAAATATACATATACAAAAAACAGAGGTAATATTATCAATTCAATAAATACGTATTGGTTTTTATTAAAAAAATAGTTTTATTCAAAATATTTATTAAAAAAAAAAAACTTTTAAACAGTTGGTTTACTTTAAAATTAGATATAAAATTTATTAATTTACACGAAAATTTTCAAATGTTATTAAAAATATTTTAAAATATTACAAAAATAAAACAAAATATTTGTAAACCATATTATTTACATCCCACAACCTTATGATATATTTATTTGAGTATATATATATATATATACACACACATTATTATATCCGTCAACGCAGTATATATATTTCAGATACGATAACATTGTCTGTAAATTGTATAAGGTTAATAAAAAGTCAACTGTTAATTTTGACTAAGGTTTGGACTAAATAAGTTGAAAATAAGTTTAAAAAGCTTCAAATCACTATAGATTTTGTAATGTTTATAACTTTATATATGTTTAATCCATGTTTCAATAAATCATACTTTAATGCACAGAAAATATCAAATCCCATTATCGAAAAATCGATTAATCACACTCATCCACTTTTTTTCTTGTCATTACATATTCAATTATTTTCTTAGTATAATAATAACAAATTGTAATGATAAATTTTCATGCGGGTAAAGTAAAATATTAAATCTACTTGACAAACTTCCTTTTAAAAAGTATTTATTTCAGATTTGAGATTTGTCAGATATTTTTAAGAGAAAAGAGAATCTCAGAAGGTGAGCCTCCAACAAAGCGTGAATCTCTCTCTCTGACTCTCTCTTTCTCCGAGATCGCATCACCGGGAGATCTCACGGCGGTGGAGTTGGTGAAAGTTGACCAGAGATGGCGGCGGAGAATGAGAGAAAATCTCCTTCTGCAGTCTCCGATATGGGAGCTTGGGCAATGAATGTGATAAGCTCCGTCGGAATTATCATGGCGAATAAACAACTAATGTCTTCTTCTGGATTCGCATTTAGTTTCGGTTCGTCTTCTTCTTCTTCTCCGATCTCTCGATTTTGATTTGAGATCTGATGATTTTCCGATTGTTTTTCAGCTACAACTCTCACCGGATTCCACTTCGCTTTAACCGCATTGGTCGGTATGGTATCGAACGCTACCGGATTCTCTGCTTCGAAGCATGTTCCTATGTGGGAGCTTATTTGGTTCTCCATTGTTGCTAATGTCTCTATCGCTGCTATGAATTTCAGTCTCATGCTCAATTCCGTTGGCTTTTACCAAGTAATTCCTCTTTCGATTCTTCTCGGTCTCGATCTTGTTCGTATAGAACTAAATTGAGTGATAAGTAGCTTTTGGATTATTGAATTCACATATAGACTTTGATTTTGGAGTATTGGATTTGCATATAGACTTTGATTTTGGTTTATTGGATTCACATTGTTTGAATCGGTTCTGTGTTGATTAGATCTCGAAGCTGAGCATGATTCCTGTGGTGTGTGTTATGGAATGGATTCTACACAGCAAGAGATACTCCAGAGAAGTGAAAATATCTGTTGTGGTTGTTGTTGTTGGTGTTGGTATTTGTACTGTGACTGATGTTAAGGTTAATGCCAAGGGATTTATTTGTGCTTGTGTTGCGATTTTCTCGTCATCATTGCAGCAAATTGTAAGTTTTTTTTTGATGTTTTGTTTGTTTAATTGGTTTTGAAGATTTGAATCAAATCTGATCTGTTGGTGTTTTTTTTCTTTGTTGCTAGTTAATAGGTTCCCTGCAGAAGAAATATTCAATTGGGTCTTTTGAGTTGTTGAGTAAAACAGCGCCGATTCAAGCTCTTTCGCTTCTTGTTGTTGGTCCTTTAGTTGATTATCTTCTTAGTGGGAAGTTCATTATGAACTACAATATGTCTTCCGGTTGCTTTGTAAGTATCTCTGTCCATGGCTTTGGTAGTATAGTTATGTTATCGTTGTCTAATACTCTACCATTTGCAGCTATTCATCCTTCTCTCGTGTGCTCTAGCTGTGTTCTGCAACATAAGCCAGTACCTTTGCATCGGGCGTTTTTCAGCAGTATCGTTCCAGGTTATAGGTCACATGAAAACGGTGTGCATCCTCACGCTTGGATGGCTCCTTTTTGATTCTGCAATGACTTTCAAAAACGTAGCGGGCATGATTGTTGCGATTGTTGGGATGGTAATCTATAGCTGGGCAATGGAATTGGAGAAACAGTCTATTATTGCAGCAAAGGCTTTGAACAGTGTGAAACACAGTTTAACAGAAGAAGAATTTGAACTTTTGAAGGAAGGTGTAGAAACGACGCAATCGAAAGATGTTGAACTTGGCCGCACAAAAGCTTAGGCAGATGGATAGAAAGAAACATAGTCTTCAGGTACAATTTGTTCTGTTATAATTTTGTATGTTTTGTGTTATCTAAACCAAGAGATCGGATCCTCGGAGATTAGTGTCTAGGCTTCGATCTAAAGTTTCCTTTGGTTATACAAATGTTTTGTGTTATTTATATCTCTACCCAATTCCATGGAAATAACTTCAATGACACACATGTTATTGTTTTACAAAGCACTCAAAGAGTATATTCCTTTATTTGTAGCTCATCTTATAGAATATGACAACAAATAAAGAGTATATTCCAGTTCCTCACAAATAATGAGTATATTTCATGGTATGAAACATCAAGACAAAGAAAACAAGAATATTGTAGAAGTCTTAAAAGAAATTTTGATAAAACATTAGTTAGCTTACAAGTAATGTGAAACCTGTAAATGAGAAGTAATACTCACAGGCCAAAGTATATCATGAAGAAAGCTTCAGCCATGGTTGTGATTTGAATAACCCTATAATTTATTTCAATATTATGAAGAAAACTTGCAAGGGAAGCAATAAGTAAATTAATCATCATCTGAAAAACACAATGCATGAAATTTGTTAGCGCTCTCAAAATGATCTTGTTCCAGGTGAGCACCGAGTCTCACTTGATGATCATCTCTAGGTGGGTTTACTCTTCTGTTCTGGTGGGCTTATAGATGTTTCATATCATATTTCATATGTTGTTATCTTAGTATTACACTTAAGATCCTATACATGGTCTACAAAGGCGTAAACTCTATTCCATTCTTGGTCTTCTCCAAAACCTTGGATTTCAACAATTAGAAGAGTGTTCCTTGCGGGATTAAAGTAGAAGACATAAAATGCCTTACATGCCTTCTCCTTCGCCAAAACAATTTCACCTTTAGAAGTCATCCCAACAATAAAAAGATTGTAGTAAACCTTAACGACATTATTCTCAGCCCTCAAAGTGTAGAAATATGTTGTCCATTTCTCGACATCCTCTAGAACCCACATACATAAGTTAAGGGGAAATCCACCATCAGATGCATACTTCAAGTGAATCACACCTAATTTACCCTTATAGTTTATCAATTGAGTAGACCATTCACAAAGGCAGTTTGGCTTTGGATATAGAAACTTGAATTTCTCAGACTAACCGTTAGTAAGCTAGGAAATACAAATCTCCGTTGACGCATATCCAAACATCATGGATCAAGGGACATTGTTGGATCTTCTTCCATCTTACTTTTTTAGTTACTAATGTCAAAATATGAACGTCCGTTTCATTATTGTTTGTATTGTTCATGAGCAATACCTTGAATTGCTTGCCAATCCGATCAAACATTAAAAAGCTTCTCGTCTCTCCATATTATAAAGGTAATCACAGCTTCATCTTAAAAATATAGAGCTTGATGGCTCCATTTAAGTTCAAGGCTTTATAGTTTATACCCGCAGTTTTCATTTTGACTGCATCAAGAAAGCAAGAGATGTGATATGTATAAATTGGTTAACGATAAACCTTTTCAACAACATGTTGTCGCATACGTTACAAACGATGTCAGAACTTATCACCAAGAAGAAGAAAAAGGTCAAATGTTTTAATGTCCAGTGTGTTTCATTCTTCTTACACACCACTCTTCGCAATCTCACTCGTTTGGTGTCTTTCAATGCATCTAGTTTGGTCTTGGATATTAGTTCTTGCTCTGTTAGTGGTGTCGTTCCTTTTACTCTTGGTAATCTCACATCATCAATGTGAAGTACGAAATCTGAATAATATATTCGAATCATCAACCAAATATACAGAAAAGAAGCATTTTTGTTTGACGAAATAAGATATAACGAATCATCATTAAGAAACAAAAGAGAATTTAAGCTATTAATACCACAACTATTAAATACCACAACTACTGGTGGTTGTTGATCTTTGGTCATGTTGATGAGAACCGATTCCAACAAAGCCCTTGGTTGGGAAGTTTTCCATAACATCTTTTTGTCCTCCCATTCCTTCCATTCTTCTTCTTCAATGAGAATGCAGCTTCATGATGATGATCATCATCCTTCTTCGTGGGATTATTTTTCTTTTTAATCTTGCAAACGACTAGCTTCTGAAACGTATCGGCTTTGCTCGGTAACACAAACTCATTCATAATCCAGCGGCTTTCACTGCCCGTAACATTAGCAGAAGAACCGTATCCTCTCTTTTGCTTCTTCGTATTGTTGTCGTTGTTGCCCTTATGGAAAGTTAGACTTTGGTTTACACCTATGATCATCCCTGTCTTCTCATCGATGATATTTGTGTTCCCATTCAACCTCCAATACCCACGGTCGATGCCATCGTTGTTGTCTCCCATGATCTTCCGCTTCACGTTCTTACCACAACTGATCTTTCTTTCGGAGATTTGAGTCCTTATCCCAAAGTAATACCACTCATCTTCGTTGAAAAAAGGATCGTTGGTATGGTCCAACAACCATGGTTCCTTAGCGTAAACATCCTTTTCCACTATGAAGTTTCCACATGGTTCACCTCTTTCCTTCCACATAAGATAGTCGATGATTTCTTGGTCCGAGGGATCAAAGTGAAAACCACCGTCTTCTTCGGAATCATAGCCGTTCGACATCTCCCTTAGGATTATTTAGGGTTTTGAGTGTGTGTTGCTATGTGGTTTTGCTGCAAATCATTAAAAAAAAAAAAGTGATTAGGTTTTGAGACCAATCTAGAAAATGTTATGAATTGAAAGGAACGAGAAGCCGCATATGATATATGAACGTACCTTAGCCGATTACAACATCCACAAAGGAACAAGCTTAAGATTGATGTGTATTTATAGAGTTAGGGCATTTGTCGGTCTTCTATTCTTAATTTAACAAGTAAAAGCTTAAATATAGATATTAAATAAAAAAAAAAAAAATTAGTACAAGGAATAGTACGTAAAGGCCCATGGTGTGCATGGGCTGAGTAAATTAAAGCCGACTCTTTCATCTTGTTTGATCGGAGAATATTTATGGTATCAGAGTTAATTGGCGGGTTGGCGCGTAGAGTTCACAAGTGATGTTGATTGGATAATCTTTTAAAATAGTGTTAATTTTGATTTAAGATACGATAGAAGACATTAATATTATCTAGAGGTTATCCTGCTAATATATATATATTAATCCTGAAATACATTTAACCTTAGTTAAAATTTGTCAATTATACATCAAATGTCATAGCTTTAAAATCAAAATGAATTATTTTATTAAAGAGAAATAATTCATTAATAAAAAGTCATATTCTAATAGCTAAACGAGATGTAAATAAAAGTTTCTACTATTATTTTTGTAACAAAACAAAAACTATATATATCTTTTTTTTGGATCTCAGTTATGTTAATTTAGAAGTCTAGAAAACCATTCCGGAGACACCTTGTTTTTATCTAAAATATAATAAGGGTAGAAACGGGAAATTCATGTTAACTTAGGTGCTTTAACATTAACATTACGCCCGTGATGAAAGCAACTTCAATCTTTTGTTCTGAAATGATTCATCGTCCACACTAGTGTTTCCAATTTGGTATGTAAAAGGGAGAAACTAACGAAGATTACAAGCTCCCACAAGTGATGCTTTACTGTTGACTTTCGAACAATTCCATCATAACCCTAGATAGGGACTTGTTCGTTCCATAAACCATCAATAAAGCAATGATTACCTGTAAAGTCACTTCTCTCCCCACATATAGTGAAGTGTAAGATGAGGCTCCCTGTCCCTGATAACCACAACTTGAGCCAAGCTTCGTGCTTGAGCTTCACCTTCTGCTAATGGAAGGATTTCCCGCTGATCTCTATCCAAATTATCAAAAATCTTATCATTTAGTGCTTTCTAGATATACTAGATGATCAAAGGAAAACTTTGAGTTTGAGTTTTCTTTGGTAATCGTCAGAATAGATAATTAATATATCGAAAAAAGTGAGATAGTTGGACAAAAAGTGTCGTTAAAAAGAAAAGAAAAAACGTTAACGACATTAGGGCCTAAGACAAAGCCCAAGTTTGTATTGCAAAGGACATTCAAAAATGACATGATTAATTGTTTCTTGATCTACTCCACATCTGACATACCGTAAATAACATTTAAGACATATATACATCCAACACAACAACTATGTATCCAAATAAGTCGTATACAATATTTTTTTCATATCGTTTTTTATTTAAAATATTTTTATTTCCTTTTCAAAATAGACATTAAAGCTTCACCAAATAATTCCAATTAAATTACAAACTTTTACAAAACCGAATGAATGGATATAACCGAGGAAGGAGGAATGGGTTCTTATCTGGGTATTCCCGAAAGTCTCGGGGGATCCAAAAGTAAAAATTTTAACTACATCCGGGAATGACATAATGATCGGATAAATGGTTGGTCAGCGAAATATTTGTCCAAGGGAGGGAAAGAGACTTTGATTAAATCAGTTGCTTTGGCTCTTCCGACATAAGTTATGTCCTGCTTTAAACTCCCCCAGGAACTACATTCAAAACTAACAAGTGCTATATCTAATTATTGGTGGAGTTCTAGTGAGAAGGACAGAGGTCTCCACTGGATATCTTGGGAGAAAATGTGTAAAGCTAAACATGAAGGAGATGTAGGCTTTTGTTCCCTTGAATTTTATAATGACACAATGTTGGCAAAACAATGTTGGCAAAACAATATTGGCATCTAATAAATTACCCGTACTCTTTAGTAGCTCGGGTGATGAAAGGTAGATACTTTAAGAATAAACATCCATTAGAAGCAAAAAAAAAGAAACAAATTCCCCTTCATTCAGATGGAGGAATATTTTTTTCAACAAAAAATTTGGTGGAAAAGGGAGTTAGGTGGAAATGTAGGCTCAGGTTTTAATATATTGGTCAGGAAAGACCCTTGGATACCAGATGTTAACCCACGCTCAGCAAGGAGTAGAGGAAAACATCTTCATCCTAATCTAAAGGTTAATTATTTAATTAATCCAATTTCGAAGGAATGGCACCCTCCTATTTTGCAAGAATTTTTTGATCCGGAAGATATTCAGATCATTCAAGGAATGACTATAAGTCAAAATTACAAACCTGATAGGTTAATCCAGCATTATACAAAATATGGGAGATATACAGTTAAATCTGGTTATTGGCTTGCACAAGCTTTGTCTGAAACAATAGGATGGGGTCCAAGCTTTAAAGCTCTCAAAGCTCAAGCGTGGAAAGTTACAGCACCACCAAAACTCAGACATTTCTTGTGGGAAGTTGCATCGGGATCTCTACCAGTTACTTTTTCCTTAGTTCAACGTGGAAGATGTTGTGATATTATGTGTCAAAGATGTAAGACGGCGGAAGAAACCATAAATCATGTTCTTTTTGAATGTCCACACTCCTAGCAAATCTTGGCATTGTCTCTGATTCCATTAATACCAGGAAGTTTTCCCCTAACTTCGGTATTTTCAAATCTAGACTTCTTATTTTGGAGATTACCAACTAATGCAGATGAGAGAGGTAAATGTCACTACTTTCCTTGGATTTTGTGGTTCATATGGAAAGATAGGAATATTAAGGTTTTTAAAGGTACACAATCTGAACCCTTAGACATAATAAGACACGCTTTAAGTGAACAAGTTATGTGGGAATAGGCTCAATTGATTTCAGACGAAATAATTGAGAATGGAGAAACTTCAGTTTATCCTTCACAAACTCTTAAGATGTCGAGTCGATAGTTCGTGGAAACAATCATATCATACCATGGGTTTAGGATGGTGGTGCTTTCGGGGAGACGAACATACTGTTCTACTTGGAGCAAAATGTTATCGTACTCGCCCTTCTCCACTACACGCGGAAATGGAAGCTCTGTTATGGGCTTTGCAATGTATACTCTCAAACAGGATTGACTGCCACGTGTTCAAAACAGATAGTACAGAGCTAGTGTCGATGTTGAAGTCACCTGAGGAGTGGCCCGCTTTCTCCAATCTTCTGGTTGAGATTGTTTTGATGCGTGACCTTTTTCCTTCTTTTTCTCTTTCTAGTATTTCTCGCTCTTGTAATGCTAAGGCAGATTGTCTAACTCGTCATTCTATATCTTTATTTTCTAAAATCTCTTTTGTAAACACTTTTCCTCCAAATTGGGCTACCAATCACGGAGTGACTTTTTAATTAATGTGTGGTTGCAAAAAAAAAAAAACTGAATGAATAAACAATATACTTTTATACATTTCTATGCTGTAAAAATAAGTGTAAACATTTTGTTATACGACAAATTATAGTCTATCTAATATTCATTACAACCATAATATTTTTAATAAAAGTTAACAATACTTATAAAGAATCATTACGTTGTAGCACGGTGAAGCGTGTTTTATTTCGCTCAAAAGTTTTTCCTTAGAGACTACACGACTACTGCAAGTACACAATGAATCTTCTGTAGTATTTAAGGATCAAATCCCACAGAGAGAAGTTGTTTATAGGCATGACCACGGTTACGGTTATTGCGGTTACGGTTTATTAACCTCCGGTTACGGTTATAAAATTTCTATAACCGTAACCTTAACCGTTATATATACGGTTAAAACGGTTACGGTTAAATACGGTTACGGTTACAACGGTTACTGTTAAATACGGTTACGGTTACAACGGTTACGGTTAAATACGGTTATGTTTATTTAATTATTACGATACGGTTAATATCAAAGACAAAAGCATATGTATTTTTAACCTTTAGAATAAAAAATTTAATGACGATATATCAAATAATATTTATTTTACAATATATAATATATGTAATTATGTACTTTAATATTTATAGTTAATTAGCTATTTTGTTTTTGTTAAATAAACAACGAATAACTAAATCAATGGTAATAATTATAATGATTGAGTTATTGTTTTATTAACAATACGTATTCCAAACAATACTATAGAAAAGATGTTATGAGAATTAAAAAATGATTAGAGAAGTAGAAATAATAACTTGTAAATTATTTATGATTTGATTTGTGGAAAATGAGTAGTGGACGAGTGGAGTGGTTTAAATTTAGTAGTGGGCTTATTGAACCATTTAAGGCACTGTTTTCGTGAAATAATTATGTATTTTAGGTTTTAACTGCACGGTTAACTATGCGGTTAACCGTGCGGTTAACCGTACGGTTAACTAACGGTTTTGATACGTTTACGGTTAATTAACGGTTACGGTTAGTATATTTTTTAACCGTAACCAATATATTTTTACGGTTAACGGTTACGGTTATTAACCGTTTTATACGGTTACGGTTCGGTTACGGTTGAGAAACGATCCGGTTACGGTCCGAAATACGGTTACGGTTAGCTTTTGGTCATGCCTAGTTGTTTATACGAATCCGTCAGAAGAGAGTATGTCTAGGACTAATCAATAAAAAGGGAGTTTTTGGTGGTGTCACGAACGTATGCAATAATTAAATAAGAAACCAAGTACAAATCGTAAAGTAAATAGTAATAGGCAAACAGGGGCGGATCTAGGTGCAAGCCTACATGGGCACGTGCCCCACACTACTATTGAAAATTTTCTGGTTTTAGTTATAATTATTCGATTGTTGCATGGCAAAATCAGACTAATTTTCTCTCGTGCCTTAGGCTAAATAAACTTTGATTCACTTCCTATCTTCTTTCTTATTGTTCGTTTGTTTTACTTCATGTAATTATACTTTTTAACTTTGCACTAAACGCTTCTTTCCTTTCAACAAAACTTTTTGTTTCCTTTTCTATAATACCATTGTTCCACCATCAATACTAATTGTATATTTATTTCCCTAAATTTAGTC